CACTCACCGGGTCCCCTTCCACCACCTCCCCCAGGTGGTTCTTGATCACCATCACCACCTGGGCCTGGAAGGTGATGATCAGCACGGGCCCCTGCTCCATCATCTTCCCCATGGCCAGCTGGAGGGGCAGAACCCCATGGACATCAGCCCATAAACCCATGGACATCACTCCATGAACCCCATGGACATAAGCCCATAACCCCATGGACATCAGCCCACAACTCCATAGAGATCACCCCATAAACCCCATGGACATCACCCCATAAACCCCAGCGACATCACCCCATAACCCAATGGACATCACTCCATAACACCATAGAGATCACCCCATAAACCCCATGGACATCACCCCATGGACATCACCCCATAACCCAATGGACATCACCCAATAAACCCCACAGAGATCACCCCACAACCTGATGGACATCACCCCATAACCTGATGGACATCACCCTATAACCCAATAAAGATCACCCCATAAACCCATGGACATCAGCCCATGGACATCACCCCACAACCCCATGGATATTACCCCATAATCCAACAAAGATCACCCCATAAACCCCACAGAAATCACCCCATAAACCCCATGGACATCAGCCCACAACCCCAAAGACACCACCCCATAACCCAACAAAGATCACCCCATAAACCCCACAGAAATCACCCCATAACCCCACAGAGATCACCCCATAAACCCCACAGACATCACCCCATAACCCCAAGGACATCACCCCACAACCCCATGGATATTACCCCATAACCCAACAAAGATCACCCCATGGACATCAGCCCACAATCCCACAGAGATCACCCCATAAACCCCATGGATATTACCCCATAATCTGATGGACACCACCCCACAACCCCATGGACATCACCCCACAACCCCACAGACATCACCCCATAAACCCCACAGAAATCACCCCATAAACCCCACAGAAATCACCCAATAAACCCCACAGAGATCACCCCACAACCCCAAGGACATCACCCCATAAACCCCATGGATATTACCCCATAACCCAACAAAGATCACCCCATAACCCCATGGACATCACCCCATAAATCCCATGGGTATTACCCCATAACCCAATAAAGATCACCCCATAAACCCCACAAAAATCACCCCATAAACCCATGGACATCACCCAATAAACCCTACAAACACCCCACAAACCCAAGGACATCACCTCATAAACCCCATGGATATTACCCCATAACCCAACAAAGATCACCCCATAACCCAATGGACATCACCCCACAACCCCATGGACATCACCCCATAACTTGATGGACATCACCCCACAACCCCAAAGACACCACCCCATAACCCAACAAAGATCACCCCATAAACCCCATGGACATCACCCAATAAACCCCACAGAGATCACCCCATAAACCCCATGGACATCACCCCATAAATCCCATGGGTATTACCCCATAACCCAACAAAGATCACCCCACAACCCCACAGACATCACCCCACAACCCCACAGAGATCACCCCATAACCCCCATGGACATCACCCCACAAACCCCACAGAAATCACCCCACAACCCCAAAGACACCACCCCATAACCCAACAAAGATCACCCCATAAATCCCACAGAGATCACCCCATAACCCCCCCAGAAAT